ACAATCTATCAGAGACAAAATAACGTTGCTTTAGGCAACTAGTATGATTGTCTGGAAGCGGGGTTTTTCGTTTCTGTATTCTTTAATATTTTATGCCATTTTTCTCTATATACTCTTTCATGTTGTAGGCCGTTTTTATCTATTCTTTATACTTTTTGCCAATTATTCTCTTTATGTTTTAACACCTCATTATTCTATTCTATTTGTTTTTTTGTCCATTGTCTCTAATATTTATATTTTCCCCGCTATTCTCTATTCCCTAAAACCCTATCCACACCTTCTAGTAAAGGTCACCATATAGCCTTCACAAATGAGAAAAACTCATACCAAATAGGCTCCCAATGACAAAATGATTGAATTCTTATCCCGGTTTGAAATGTGAACTTGCAGAAATTTATTTTTTAATCAATTGATGTTAATAGGCAAAACACATTATCGTCCTGAATGTTTGTAAAATACTGGCAGATGAACCCTGGTCATCAATTCTTACAGGACCGTTATGAAATTGAGGTAAATTAGGCAAATGACTCATGTTGGAAATTAAAAAGTTGAAACAAAAGCTTGTCTTCATATCAAATTGTTTAAAGGCAATTGTCTTGCCAGAAGCAAGTCCTGTTCCTTCTATGACGTGGCCTCTGTTTTTTTTTCGGGATATATGTATCTCATTTCTTCTTAGTTTTTAGTGTTGATTGTCTATTGTTTACATTATGCTCTCTTATATCAGTTCCTGAGATTGTCTTTTGTTCGTTGATTGATTGCCCTTCTATATGACTATTCTCTCTCTTTATTTCTCATAAAGCCAATGCATTACATCAGTACAGAGATAACAACAATAACTATTTACAATATATACAAAACAAGGAGAGAGGTTACACATTTTTTATAAATAAACAAAGTTTCTTCAGGACTGGTTTCCGTGTACTCGACATAAGTTCCGAGAATTTAGATTTATTTTGTCGTTGTACAAAATAGGAGGATAAATACTCTGTACGTTTTTGATCGAAAAAAGTACATTCAAATATATAGTGATATTCGTCACCAATTTGTCGATTGTTACATTGATGGCAAACACGGTTTTCTCTCAATACGTTTTGCCAACTTCCTGTTTCAATCGGCAATTTGTTATTAGTCGTTCTAAATCGACAAAGAACAACGGCATCTTTAAAGTCCAAAATATTAAAATATTCCTCAAATTCCAAGTTCTCCTAGTGTAGAATTTCATTTGTTATTTATATAATTAGTAATTTCGAGTTTTATTATATATATATATATATATATGTTAGCGGCAATAAGTAAAATTAGGCATTAAGTTATTGCCTGAAATTTTCAGGCATTAAGCTTATTTCCTGAAATATAATGATGATTATTCATCCTATTGCCTTGCATCATTTAAGGCAATAAGTGAACTTTGGGATTTTTGTTTTATCTTCGAAGTAGATGTACAATCGATAAAATATTCTTGATTTCAAGTTTATTTTAAAATTATGTTCCAAATATTAATATACACTTGGTATAATTTAACAGATTTTATGATGATATTTTTTTCTACTTTTAACTTTTAGAATCCCCATAAAAGACGGCAATTATAGACTACTACAACGACAAAAAAAGTATGACATTTTGTTTACCTTAGGGGACTTTGAAATATTGATAAGTAGAGTAAAGGAGAATGATAAGAAAAAAATCAAAATTAATTTGTTTTCTTTATCGTGGTACATTGGATAAGGAACATTTAATATTTTTCATGTTTGGGCCTTAATTTTATAGCTGACTATATGGTATGGGTTTTTCTCATTGCTGAAAGCCGTAGTGTTGGCTATAATTGTTTACATCAACTTCATTTGAATTTTTGTGGATAGTTGTCTCACTGGCAAGTATACCACATCTCATTATTTTTCATATAAACAACCATGGCGACAGAGACCGTATGATTTTATCAACTTAGTAGTGACTCTTCAAAAATAACAAACAAACAAAACGAGCTCCAAGGACGAAATGAAAACAACTGTCATATTCAGGGACTTGGTACAGGCATTTCCATATGTAGAAAATGATGGGTTAAACCTTGTTTAACAGCTAGCTAATCCTCTCACTTGTATGACAGTCGCATATAATTCTATTATATTGACAAAAATGTTTTGGCAAAACAAACAGACATTTAGGTAAAAAAAGTCAAAAATGGGGTACAACATTGTGTTATAATCTAAATCACTATGAAAATAACAATTTCAACAACGAAAAACAAAACGGCATATAAACACTTTATAGACAAACTAGATAAGCAAAAGTGAAAGACAAGAATACAACAATGTCAATTCAAATATTTCTTCCGATTCAATGGTTATGCAAATATTTCCATCTAACAATGTCTTTCACATTCTGAAAATTGTAACATGAAGAAAAACATTCTAGGGAAGGGAGAGTAGTGAACCCCATTTTATCCAAAGAGTTAAATAATAGAGGACAGGTTGGTTTAATGGATTTCCAATTAAACCAAAAACAGTATTTAAATTGCACAGTATTGCTCAATAGAACAATAGCAAATAATCTTCGATTGCACAGTATTGCGCAATAGCAAGAAATCATCAAGTGCACAGTATTGCGCAATTGCAAGAAATCTTCAATTGCACAGTATTGCGCAATAGCAAGAAATCATCAAGTGCACAGTATTGCGCAATTGCACAATGTTGCAAGAAATCTTCAATTGCACAGTATTGCGCAATAGCAAGAAATATCCCATTGCACAGTATTGCGCAATAGCACAATACTGCGCAATAGCAAGTAATCTCCAGTTGTATAGTACTGCGCAATAGCAAGAAATATCCAATTCACAGTATTGCGCAATAGCAAGAAATCTCCAATTGTATAGTACTGCGCAATAGCAAGAAATATGCAATTTCACAGTATTACGCAATAACAAGAAATATCGAATCGCACTGTATTGCGCAATAGCAAGAAATCTTCAATTCTAAATTAATACAAATATTTCAACCCATTTCAAATTTGTAAGATCTTTTACCACATTTATTTTGTGTCTGAAACCTATAGCATGTCAAAAATTTGATCACAATCCAAATTCAGACAGTATTAAACTTAAATATTGTGTCCAAACTGGCACCAACTGTTCAGGGTTCGACCTTTGCGGTTGTATCAGGCTGCGTTCGGTGAAGCATTTTATTAATTCTGTTATTGTATTCGTTAGCTGTATGTGATCGTATGTCATATATGTTTTTTTCTTCATAATTGTTAATAATAAAGGGGCAACCATTAATACAATTTTGATACGTTGTACGGGGAAAGGCAGGGATAGACAGGTTTTGAAAATGGAAAGTCTAACCTGGTGTAAATAAAACATAACACGAACAATAAAATGAAAGAATTGTGCCGCTAAAGTACCAACGGGTGAAATGTAATGTTGTTTTTCCCCTTTTGACACTCCTGATAAAGATAAAACCCGAAAAATGCTTCGGACGCAATGAATATCTATGATGAGTTTATTAATAAAGTTTTTTCCATTTTGTAACAAGGTAGCAAAAGAAGTTAAGTAACCATATGCTGGAGCACACGTACTAATTGATAGGCATAGAAATAAAAAGTATGATAACCAATAACAATCTATCAGAGACAAAATAACGTTGCTTTAGGCAACTAGTATGATTGTCTGGAAGCGGGGTTTTTCGTTTCTGTATTCTTTAATATTTTATGCCATTTTTCTCTATATACTCTTTCATGTTGTAGGCCGTTTTTATCTCTTCTTTATACTTTTTGCCAATTATTCTCTTTATGTTTTAACACCTCATTATTCTATTCTATTTGTTTTTTTTGTCCATTGTCTCTATTATTTATATTTTTCCCCGCTATTCTCTATTCCCTAAAACCCTATCCACACCTTCTAGTAAAGGTCACCATATAGCCTGGTCATCAATTCTTACAGGACCGTTATGAAATTGAGGTAAATTAGGCAAATGACTCATGTTGGAAATTAAAAAGTTGAAACAAAAGCTTGTCTTCATATCAAATTGTTTAAGGGCGATTGTCTTGCCAGAAGCAAGTCCTGTTCCTTCTATGACGTGGCCTCTGTTTTTTTTTCGGGATATATGTATCTCATTTCTTTTTAGTTTTCAGTGTTAATTATCTATTGTTTACATTATGCTTTCTTATATCAGTTCCTGAGATTGTCTTTTGTTCGTTGATTGATTGCCCTTCTATATGACTATTCTCTCAATAACTATTTATAATATATACAAAACAAGGAGAGAGGTTACAGAAGTCACTAGCCAGGAGGACAAACCAAAGTATTAACATTTTTTATAAATAAACAAAGTTTCTTCAGGACTGGTTTCCATGTACTCGACATAAGTTCCGAGAATTTAGATTTATTTTGTCGTTGTACAAAATAGGAGGATAAATACTCTGTACGTTTTTGATCGAAAAAAGTACATTCAAATATATAGTGATATTCGTCACCAATTTGTCGATTGTTACATTGATGGCAAACACGGTTTTCTCTCAATACGTTTTGCCACCTTCCTGTTTCAATCGGCAATTTGTTATTAGTCGTTCTAAATCGACAAAGAACAACGGCATCTTTAAAGTCCAAAATATTAAAATATTCCTCAAATTCCAAGTTCTCCTAGTGTAGAATTTCATTTGTTATTTATATAATTAGTAATTTCGAGTTTTATTATATATATATGTTAGCGGCAATAAGTAAAATTAGGCATTAAGCTTATACCCTAGGCATTAAGTTATTGCCTGAAATTTTCAGGCATTAAGCTTATTTCCTGAAATATAATGATGATTATTCATCCTATTGCCTTGCATCATTTAAGGCAATAAGTGAACTTTGGGATTTTTGTTTTATCTTCGAAGTAGATGTACAATCGATAAAATATTCTTGATTTCAAGTTTATTTTAAAATTATGTTCCAAATATTGATATACACTTGGTATAATTTAACAGATTTTATGATGATATTTTTTTCTACTTTTAACTTTTAGAATCCCCATAAAAGACGGCAATTATAGACTACTACAACGACAATCAAAGTACTGAAGTACTGAACATCGGATGACCGCAGGTTCTTGTGTATGGTCAAAAGCACATGTCACAGAAACAGATCACATCTCTATACCTGAAACTGAGGTTAATTTACAGAGATTTTTTTTTTCTGATACAAGTTCGTGCTTGGATGATGAATAAATGACAGGAAATTCAACCTCACCGTAATAACTATTATATTGTAGTGATACAAATCAGTATACCTTAGACTATTATACTAATATAATAATAGTTCCAGAGAATACACTGGTTTGTTGTTATATATTATATTAATATTACGGTTGCATGTATATATAATTTTCATCTATTTGTATATCATTCTATTCTACTATTATTATAGTGCAAGTGCATGGTGGACACTCTTCTGTAAAAAAAATCAAAGCCTTAAAGGCTGTAAAAGCAATTGCTGCCATGTTAATGTTTTGTGGACTTTTATTTTTCATCCATATATATATAAGAATTAAACCTGACAGGACAGGAGTGTTGACTAGTGAGAAGCAAGACGGTTTTAACTTTATATCAATAAAAGACTTTAGCAGGAAATCATTTTAAATATGTTTTATATTTCACAAGGAGACAACAAGTTTACCAGGCTAAAGTTGGGGTTAATTATACATGTGCTGAAACATATAACTAAAAAAAAAAATCAATATGGATTGTCCCCTGGTAGTGTTTGTAACTGGGCAATAATTTCCTTTATTGATTTAATTTTAACAATTTTCATAATTAATTTAAATTAACCATTCAATTAAAACATTTCAACTTTCCAGACGCAAATGTTGAAAAACGGGCAAGAAATAAAATATCTTACAAGACATAAACATGTAAAAAATAAATATATATTTCAGCTTACTAAATATATTTTCATAATGTTACTTTGACATCATTTCTTAAAACTAAGTCCCAAACATAATTGCTCAGTTGATATGTGTCATCCTTATGCGATACGAGATAACTATAATTCTGATGCAATCCCGAAAAGGGGGGTCATCACAAACAAACATGACATTAAATTGTCATTATACGAACTAGAACAAACAGCTCTATGTTGCTTTGATATTTATCAATTTTCAGGAAACATGTGAAATAAATTTCAGGTCCATTTCATTATAGTGCCTAACAAGATTGTGTGAGGTAGACGAAATTGACCTTAAAACGATCGTATTGTCTTTTGATGTCCAAAAATAGGCAGATCTGACATATAAGGACTTTATCTAATGACTACATAAATTTGGGATTTATTATTATTATAATATTCTAATGAAACTGAAAATTGTATTTTTTTGTTAGGATAAACAACAATTTTACCTGGCGTAGCCGTGCATATAAAAATGTTTTTCTGCGAAAAATGGCGTATTTAATGGAATAGAACGTTAATACAGTAAACTTTCTCTTTTTTCTCCGCAATAGGCTATAAAAAATAACTTATCTAATGTGTATGTGGAAAATTATGTGAAAAGATAAAAAGTGGCAATTGTTACCTTTCATACCTTAAGTTTCATTCATATGCCGCTATTATTGTTGTTGTTACCAATTATGTAAATCAATTGTATCTGATTTTATGCCCTTTATGGGCCCTGTAATTTGGAAAATACAAAAAAAAAAATCTATTCATTGATAAAACGTAATATGGACTGGTCCAGTGTCCAGTTTGCAGGTCATTTAATTTACTGTACACATTCATGCACGCTCTGATTTAATCAATATACTCGTACGAAAAAGCATGAACAGTTTGAAGGTAATCTAATAATAACTTAATCCAATCAAATTGCATAAGATTCAATAACAATGTCCAGTCCACATCATAATGAGTAATAGGGGTAAACTTGGTAGGGAGAAAATGACAGATATTTCAAGTTAATATTTATGCAATAACGAATTAAAATTTGTCAACTAAAAGTTTTGCTACAATTTCAAAAACATGTCGTTCTGTATGGGTATAGTTTTCGGATCTTTCATTAGCGTATTTAAGGCTATAAAAAGTTTGGGTTCAAAAGTCCACACAATTATTGACTTTATACAGAAAATTCGTCCTTGTAAAACATTTAATAGTTCACAAATGATACGCGATTTTAAAGTAAAATTATTTCTTAAAACACTGCAAAAAATTTCATTCATATTGATAAAGTGGTATCGTCATAAAGTGCGTTGAAATGAACAGTGGTATAGCAAACATCGAATTCCCTCACAAAATGTTATCACACACTATAGTAAGGGGAGTCAGTTAAGTTAGTTTATTTTTAGATTACAGGTAATCATTGACATTACGTATACAACCTGTGTGACCTGTGTAGTGATTTTGATTTTACGATAAATTCATGAATGAATGAACGATAATTTTATGAATGAACATGAGCACCTGACCTCTTTCTTAAACACCAATTAAACATATAAAACCGTTTTTAAAAGGAGATAATTCAGTCAAATTTTCAGTACTAAATCAACAACTGAAATGATTCCATTTTTTGATGAAACATCGTACGAACGGAAAACGGAATCGCAGGTATAAAAATGCACTTTTTCCCCTTGTAATGACCGCGGATCTATAATTTTTATAGATCGGTTGAAATCCCAAAACTAATTTGCATAATGGAAATTTAGGCGATAGCAATACATCGGAATGACCTGAAGGTCATCCTCTGTAAAAAAAGTATGACATTTTGTTTACCTTAGGGGACTTTGAAATATTGATAAGTAGAGTAAAGGAGAATGATAAGAAAAAAATCAAAATTAATTTGTTTTCTTTATCGTGGTACATTGGATAAGGAACATTTAATATTTTTCATGTTTGGGCCTTAATTTTATAGCTGACTATATGGTATGGGTTTTTCTCATTGCTGAAAGCCGTAGTGTTGGCTATAATTGTTTACATCAACTTCATTTGAATTTTTGTGGATAGTTGTCTCACTGGCAAGTATACCACATCTCATTATTTTTCATATAAACAATCATGGCGACAGAGACCGTATGTTTTTATCAACTTAGTAGTGACTCTTCAAAAATAACCAAAAAAAAAACGAGCTCCAAGGACGAAATGAAAACAACTGTCATATTCAGGGACTTGGTACAGGCATTTCCATATGTAGAAAATGATGGGTTAAACCTTGTTTAACAGCTAGCTAATCCTCTCACTTGTATGACAGTCGCATATAATTCTATTATATTGACAAAAATGTTTTGGCAAAACAAACAGACATTTAGGTAAAAAAAGTCAAAAATGGGGGTAAAACATTGTGTTATAATCTAAATCACTATGAAAATAACAATTTCAACAACGAAAAACAAAACGGCATATAAACACTTTATAGACAAAGTACATAAGCAAAAATGCAAGACAAGAATACAACAATGTCAATTTAAATATTTCTTCCGATTCAATGGTTATGCAAATATTTCCATCGAACAATGTCTTTCACATTCTGAAAATTGTAACATGAAGAAAAACATTCTAGGAAGGGAGAGTAGTGAACCCCATTTTATCCAAAGAGTTCAACAATAGAGGACAGGTTGGTTTAATGGATTTCCAATTAAACCAAAAACAGAAACTATTAATGTCTTATAGTGTACTAACAAAATTTTTAAACATTAGATTTTGTACGTTAAAATGTGCTTAAATAGAGTGACGTTTGTTTTAATTAAGGGTTTCATATTTTTAATGTTTTTAATGTTTAGTGCGCCCCATAAACTGCATTATCACAACCGTCGTGAATTTTCAGCCATGGTTATACCGGAGTTTAAAAATAAAGTGGTCAGAACTGGTGACTTTATTTGAAGGAGTTGACATTTTAAACTTCAGTTATTATCATGTTATTTTGTACCAAATGTGTTTTAATTTTTAACAAATGTTTTTTTTTTATTTTCTCCATTTACATTTTAGGCAATAAGATTAATTCCTGGACACATTTTTCAGGATTTAAGCTTAAATCCTAGGATTAAAGATTAATGCCTAACACTATTTAGGCAATAGACTTACTGCCTAGGCGTTAGCTTATTGCCTAGGATTTAAGCTTAATGCCTAATTTCACTTATTGCCGCTAACAGGACCTTTTAATAAAATTTAAAAACTACTTTAAATTGTAGAAATATTCGAAAGTAGCTCTCGCCTTTTTGTTCTGCGTCGACGTTAAAGGAACACTAATCAAGCGATGATCGATCTTTAATTATGAATATGGCTTCAGTTTGCTTATATTCCATGTTGTCCTTTTTTAATGACAGATTAAACTGTTACAGTATATTAGGATAAATACTCTGTACGTTTTTGATCGAAAAAAGTACATTCAAATATATAGTGATATTCGTCACCAATTTGTCGATTGTTACATTGATGGCAAACACGGTTTTCTCTCAATACGTTTTGCCACCTTCCTGTTTCAATCGGCAATTTGTTATTAGTCGTTCTAAATCGACAAAGAACAACGACATCTTTAAAGTCCAAAATATTAAAATATTCCTCAAATTCCAAGTTCTCCTAGTGTAGAATTTCATTTGTTATTTATATAATTAGTAATTTCGAGTTTTATTATATATATATATATATATGTTAGCGGCAATAAGTAAAATTAGGCATTAAGCTTAAACCCTAGGCATTAAGTTATTGCCTGAAATTTTCAGGCATTAAGCTTATTTCCTGAAATATAATGATGATTATTCATCCTATTGCCTTGCATCATTTAAGGAAATAAGTGAACTTTGGGATTTTTGTTTTATCTTCGAAGTAGATGTACAATCGATAAAATATTCTTGATTTCAAGTTTATTTTAAAATTATGTTCCAAATATTAATATACACTTGGTATAATTTAACAGATTTTATGATGATTTTTTTTTCTACTTTTAACTTTTAGAATCCCCATAAAAGACGGCAATTATAGACTACTACAACGACAAAAAAAGTATGACATTTTGTTTACCTTAGGGGACTTTGAAATATTGATAAGTAGAGTAAAGGAGAATGATAAGAAAAAAATCAAAATTAATTTGTTTTCTTTATCGTGGTACATTGGATAAGGAACATTTAATATTTTTCATGTTTGGGCCTTAATTTAATAGCTGACTATATGGTATGGGTTTTTCTCATTGCTGAAAGCCGTAGTGTTGGCTATAATTGTTTACATCAACTTCATTTGAATTTTTGTGGATAGTTGTCTCACTGGCAAGTATACCACATCTCATTATTTTTCATATAAACAACCATGGCGACAGAGACCGTATGATTTTATCAACTTAGTAGTGACTCTTCAAAAATAACAAAAAAAAAACGAGCTCCAAGGACGAAATGAAAACAACTGTCATATTCAGGGACTTGGTACAGGCATTTCCATATGTAGAAAATGATGGGTTAAACCTTGTTTAACAGCTAGCTAATCCTCTCACTTGTATGACAGTCGCATATAATTCTATTATATTGACAAAAATGTTTTGGCAAAACAAACAGACATTTAGGTAAAAAAAGTCAAAAATGGGGGTACAACATTGTGTTATAATCTAAATCACTATGAAAATAACAATTTCAACAACGAAAAACAAAACGGCATATAAACACTTTATTGACAAA